ATGCCCCTGACCGGAATCGAACCTGGGACCTTTCAGTCCGCAGACCGACGCTTTACCACTGAGCCAAACCGGTTTCAGCTCCGGTGGCATTTAAAGGGCCAGAGCATTTACACTCCATCTTGTGTCATAAGATGTTAAGCAGAATCCACTTCATTCCAATCTTCATGGAGTCCTCTCATTGGTTTTGAAACGAGGCTGTTGGAGGCTTTTTGGAACTTTTCATTTATTTCTTGAGATTTACATCATCCTCTTTCTGAAATCTGTCCATTTTGAGTTGCATGAAGATGCTTTGAATCTGGGGACCTCACTGTGTATCATGGGGCAGCTCTTAGTTCCTGGTAGTTATCGGTAAGTTTTAGGACTGCTGTTGGATACTTACTATCATCTGTATTTGCTGATTATAAAATTAGGAACAACAACATGAATTCCCATGGTCCCATTAGTGTGCATGCCTTTCTAGTTTATTGATTTCTTGGAATATCTATCAAGTTTCATGTCCCTATGATTGTTGTTCTTGGGATGTATTGATTTAAACTACTTGCATCTGAAGCAGCCGTAGTCCTGAACATTTCCCCTTCACAAATAACAGCCACTGAAGTAACCTCTATAGGTAACATCCAAATTTCCACCAGTGCGTACACCCCTGCTCAGCAAACCAAGGATCGGTAAACTGAAATTTAAAAAATGTCTAAGCCTTCATGGGCGAAGTAGATGAAATCCTTTAAGACATAATACTAATTCTAATTCCCAGAGTTTATTGAGGAAGTGTTTTGTATATAATTGTTATGAAAAGCAAATCTTTCTATTTCACTCGAAGTAAGGGTCTCCCTGGTCCCTTGTCCAGGACTTATCTGATCCCCCACCACCACCTCCCACAGCTGCATAAGCCCCCTGGGTCTGCTGGCTCCCATGACCCTCTCTGCTGAGGAATTTTGAATTTGTGCCCAAACCTTACCTGTAGCATTTTCCCCCCAAAGTTACACCGGCAGTGAGGTACCTGCCCACATCTTATCAGTGTGCCCCTTCCTCATCACCTTAGCACAGATAGCCCCGCCCCCTCTCCCTCAGGGCCAGCACCCCATCTCGCTCTTCCCCATCCCATATACTCTCAATATTTTGTTTCTTATTTTTTAAAAACATTTTATTGACTTTTTACAGAGAGGAATGGAGAGGGATAGAGAGTTAGAACCATTGATGAGAGAGAAACATTGATCAGTTGCCTACAGATGAACTATACTTAGCAACTGGGGTTGTGCCCACAACCAAGGTACATCCCCTTGACTCGAATCAAACCTGGGACCCTTGAGTCTGCAGGTCAGTGCTCTAGCCACTGAGCCAAACTGGTTAGGGTTGTGTTTCTTATTTTTATAATTGTTTCCTCTCTGGGGGAGGTAGGGCTTTTGTGTGCTTGTTTATTGTATGTCCATTGAAGGGTAAACAGTGCCTTGCATTAGCAAGTGCTAAATATTTGTTGAATAAATGCAATATGCAAAATTTAGTAAATTTTACACTTTTTTACAAGGGGGGGGGTGGAGAATACATTTTTCCTTTCCCACATGATCAATGGCATTGAGGATATCTTCCGTTTTTTACTTAAAACTGGAGGAAAAATTATGAATTTCTTAAATACAAACACGATTTTAAATTTTTTCCTAATTTATCAGATGTACCTAAAGAACTAAAAATAAGGTATGTTGTACGGGAATTCATTTATTTTCTAAATCACACAGCCTTCATTCAGCTCTGCGTAGTTCAGCTCTCGGTTTGCGGTTAGCCAGTTCCCCTTGCGGGTGTAGCAGTGGGAGGGGGTTCTGGTTTTGGCTGTGAAGACTGAAAGGGGAGACTGCGAAGGAGACTGGAAAGCAGGGTGCCCTCTGCTTCTGGACACAATCTTGTCTGAAAGAGGAGCGAGCCACTAGGAGCCCGGCTCGAAGCCTGAGGATGAAGCCAGTGCTGAGGGAGCAGCCTGCCAGGCACTGCTTAACCGGATAATAAAGCTCTTTCTTGCTCAAGCCTGTGTGAGTCCATGTGTTGATATATGGGCCCCAGGAACATCCAAACTGATACATAAATTTTATCATCATGTTGACCATTTCCCTGCTCCGCCCTTACCTTGGGTTCCTCATAATAAGTCCAGTTGGAAACCTTTTCTTTGATTCTGAATTGACCTTACATGCATTTCTCTCTTCTTCTTTACTTTTTGCCTGAGATCGTATAGGACACGTGGATTTACCCCTGTTCTCCGAAGAACACTTACTCTTGGACTGAAGTGGATTTGGGTGGCAAGAAAAATATTTGGAAACACCAGGGCCAATTCTTCCCCATGGGTTGTCAAAAGCAAGAATTCGTCTGGAATGTGTTTTTGTCAAATTTCAGGAACCGTATAGGCTTAGGGAAGATGTGTTAATAAGACCCTCAGCTTCTTTGGTCTACAGTATTGTTTACTTTTGTGCCGATTTCACTTCTGCAAAACAGCCGTGACCAGGTAGCAGTAAATGGACAAAGCCTCTGCCACTGTGGACGGAAAACAAAACTGCTAAATGTTTGCTCCTGTTACATGCTTTTGCTTTCTTCTGTCATTTTCCTTCACCTTTTTACAATTGCAATTTAAAAGACAAATAACTACCATGTGAATTTAGAAAAAACCAACCTGAGGGGCATTTTATGCCTGAAAATTGATGTCCTAGTACAGTGGTCGGCAAACTCAATAGTCAACAGAGCCAAATATCAACAGTACAACAATTGAGATTTCTTTTGAGAGCCAAATGTTTTAAACTTCTTCTAACGCCACTTCGCCACTTCTTCAAAATAGACTCACCCAGGCCGTGGTATTTTGTGGAAGAGCCACACTCAAGGGGCCAAAGAGCCTCATGTGGCTTGTCAGCCGCGATTTGCCGACCACTGTCCTGATAGTTTCCAAACACTTGCAGTAAAGAAATTGTTTTTTTCAAATGAAGCCCTTTTCAAAATCTAGAAGGGGGGATTTTAAGGCAGTTCACGTCTTTGTTGTTTGGTGGGAAACTTTTATTGCCTATGGAAACCTATGGAGTACAGGTTGAAAACTTCCTGCCTTTGGGCTTCGTGAAGAATCACCTATAACTTTTCATTCAAACTGAGATATTTTTGAGAGTGAAATGACACCAGACCAACAGATGGCAATCAACTGGGCCTGCCCCAGGCAAGCGAGGGTTTGTTGTGCTGCTTACTAGTGGGTTTCTGTGGGGGGGGGGGAAGGTATGGAGGAAGTCTGTATGAACCCCTGCTCCCACCTTTGCAGCACTAACCCATAGCAAAACAGCTCAGGAGCCTGGCGCCACAGCGTGGACAGTCACAGCCACTGGGTGTGTTCAGCCCTTCAGCAAGTGCTGATTGAGCACTCGTTGTGTGCTGGGTGTTTTCTGAGGTGCTGAGAGCAGCAATACGTGATGCTGAAGATCCTGAAGGTTCAGTATCCTCTTCAGTCAGCAGACCTTGGCAATGGATAGTTCCCTACTTGCACCATTGACATTTGAGAGATGGAAGAATGGATGATTTAAGTGGAAAATGGCACGGGAACTTTCAGCCCTGGATGTGGCATTTAAAATGGGATGTATTTTAACAGGCCTTCATCTTTAACACCTCCCACTTTACCTCCTTCCTCACCCTCACCCCATGAAATGGGACTACACTTGGCATCGGTGGCTATCTGTGTATATTCCCTTAGGGATCTATTTTATAGCTGTACGTCACTCTATGGTCAGGGATAGAACGCAGCTGGATGTGTGGATGTTTATTTTACTAGTGGATGGTTTTTGTGTAAGTAATGTTGAAAATAACCACGGGAAACAAAATGATGAGGTGTGGTCCTGTGTATCTGTCTCAGCATCTTTAGGATTTGGGAGAAGACGGTGGGAGTATGTTTTGTGAATGAGAGAACAATGGAGAGATAAAAGGGAATGATCAGGAAAAAATGGGAAAAAATAAAAAAGAGGCGTGAAAGACATTTAAATGAGCATTTTCTGGGCTACAATAGAATACGAACTTTAAGAATTTATAAAGGTGCTTAAGAGTAGAAAAATGCCTCTCAGTTCACCTGTTCACTTCAGGCTCTTGACAGACACAGCACACCCCCTTAGTAGTCACGTTTGGTACATGGCTCTCAGATGGTACATGGCTCTCAGATGGTACATGGCCCTCAGGTGGTACATGGCTCTCAGTTGGTAGTGAGGAGCCAGGGTTTGGTATGCAGCATCCACACTTGAACCTAGCTAGTTTAGTTTTCTAAATAGTTATATTTAATAGAGGGTATATTTTAATGTTCTACCTATAGCGCAGGACTAATTCAGTATAATTTTAGACTAATATTGACTTTAAAAATCAGCATTGATGTTAATTTGCCCTGTTTTATTTTTCTTAAGACATAAAAAAACTTTTTAGTCTGTATCTTTTAGTTCTTATGGAATAATATAATTGATTTTGTTACCTTTAGAAGATTGTAAGTAGTCATGTATGATTTCTTCTCAACTTTTACCTACAGTTTTCATGAAGAATAAGCAGTTATATGTAAATCAAAATTAGCGTGCTCACACATAACAGTAGAAAGTCCTATATCTTCATGATCTTTTTGCTGAATTTCAGAGTTCAGGATTTAGAAATTGATTAGTCACTTACAGACACGAGCTTGAACTCCTACTGAATCGCTTTTGGCAAGTTCAGAAGCGACTTTACATTTTATAGGTCCGTGTACATTTAAACAATTTATTATTATTATTATTATTATTATTATTTTAGTAAAGGGTCAACTTGGGTAGAGATGTGAAAGGCCCATGTGAAGTTAAAGAGCAAGATGCTTTCCCACTCCCCTTGTTTAGCCTGTCAATATTTTCATGTAGAATAAAGTCTTGTAACCTTTGAATGACTTGCACTATTGGTGAAGTGTTTTGAAAGTATTAGTCCTAGTTTGACATGTCGTAAAAGAGAAAACAAAAACAAACAAGTTAACTTTGTGAATAAAAACGCAGGTCTTAAAGAGAGATCTGCCTCCACGCCAGCAGCGCCGCCCGAAGAGCCTGAAACGTACCCTCCGCCAGAGGAGCAGGTGCCCCTGGGATCAGGTAAGCCTGGCTGTACTCTGACCCCACGCGCCTCCGCCGGCCAGCTACCCCCGTTTGCAGTGTCCTGGAGTCGTGTTTTGCCCATAACTTGTCTCACAGTATTTGCAAATGATGAACTATTCTTTTCCTGAAGTTTTATAGTAAATTGGATTGTTTTTCCACTAAAAACGTACAAAGGATGATTTTAATTTCTGAGATCAAGAGTCAAGGCACCGAGAGATAGTCGCTCACTGCCTGAGATCACCGTTACGGACATCAGGAATGAAATGCCATGTTTCTCCATTCAAATTCCAGGACAGCTGTGTCTTATCACCTTGAAGTAAAGTCAGACACAGCTTGTCCAATAGTTTGTCATCACTTCTCACGTTATTTAACAGAGTGGGGCTACTGAGCTCCCAATGACAGTCTCCTTCCTGCAGCAGCAGGCTTCCCACCTTCATGCGTCTCAGAAGCCAGTTTTACATATTCATGAATTCCTAGATCAATTCAAGTACAGTGTATCTTAGTCACCCACAGGGTGAAAGCTGAAATCTCCTTATAAGTTGGCAAGTGACATTTGAATCCATTACTATTCTTCCTTATTTATGCTGAGATGATATTTATTACAAAGTAATTTCTGCACATCTTTTATTTACTCAGTTCTCAAACATTTGGTTTCATTTTGCCACCTAGTGGAAGTGTTAGGGATAACACCACATTTTTACCAGCAACTCAGGTCCTGATTTTATCACTCGATGAATAATATTTCCTTCCTTTTAAGATCAGTTTGCCGATTTGATTTTCAAATTTGTTCAAATCATAATCGTAGGAGAATTTACTGTCTCCCTTCCATTCCAGTAGAATTGCTGTAAGCATACCCTGGCAAAAAGTGATTTTTTTTAAACATAATTAAATGTGTATTTGGATTTAGCATCCTAGATTTTACTTAGTGCTAAATAAATTATAATTACAAACCAGGACCTACTCTGAAATGTACCATTTGCTTTCATTCTTATTTATTTATTTTTTTATATTGCTCTTTGCATAGTGCTGATAACTAACTGTCCTCCTAAATCTGAGTTTGTCACCACCTCATATCCTTTTCAACCTCTGGGCTGTATTTGGTTTAGGGTAAATGTTGCTTTCTCACCCTCCCTCTTATCTGACTTAGCTTCTCTCTCTTCTCTGACTACCACCTATTCTATAAACATAGGCACACATCTCTCCTTAAAATGCAATATATTATAGTAACCCCTCTCTGCTCCAGTCCCGCTCCCAGCTGTCCTCACCAGGCTTTTGGAAGAGGAATCTATAGTCCTTTTCCTTGTTTTCCAATCAGCCTTGAACTCACTCTCCATCTGCCTCTACTGACCCTCCCCAGGGAAAGGGAAGGGCATTTACAGAATCACAAGGCAGATGAACTAGCTCGGGGCACTCCCACATTCACACCTGCGCTGTGGGAGCCTGTGAGGGCGAGCAGGCCGAGGTCTCAGACTCCCATCTGTTCTGTAGAACTTAGGTTTTCTCGCTGCTGGCACAGGAGCCATGGAAAGGCTAAGCAGAGGATCAGTCTGCCACCGTCCACTTCTCCCTATGTTCTGACCTCTGTGCAAGGCGGTGAAACCGGGAAGCCCGTAAGGAAGCGATCATGGGCCCCGTGAGGAATGTTGAGGGGAGGTGAGAGATGGGCAGGCTCCTCTAGGCACACGGGGCTCTGCTTAAAAGTGGTTTGTGAAACATAAGCATCTGTGAGAACAGAAGGCACGCTTTGTGCTTTAGAAATGGTGGTGCCGTGTGATTAGGAAAACAGACTGAGTAGTGTCCGCGTAATGACAGCTTCTGGTTGGTAGTGCGATGTTGCAATAAACCTGATAATCCGATAAGCACTGCAGTGGTGTCGGAATGTCATTACTGTGTGGCTGGCTTTGTAATGGATATCTACTTGAATCTCGGAATCCCACTGGCAGAGGGGGTTCTCCAAAGCAGAGAGGATTGTCAGTTACAATGTCAGGTCTTTTACTCACGATTCCTGGCAGCTTCTGCCAGTGGTCGGCCAACCCTGCTCAGTGCAGTCCTCATACCAGCCAGGGCCCTCTCTCTGCCGTCAGGGAAGGAAGACATGGGCATTACTGTAGATTGCACTGACAGTGTACGTTTTAACGCATACTACCCTTATCTCACACAGTTTCACCGTTATTTCTCAGTACTTTCCTTTCTGAAAGCTTTGTCCTCCCCATTTTCTTTATTTCATCATTAGTATGAATTTTGTTCATCAGAAACTGAAATGATTTTCCTCCAAGGGAGGTATTTTTTTTTAAAGGAAAGTCTGAACCCAAATTAGTTTTCTTGTACTAAAATCTTATGAAGACTAAAAAAAATTATAACTACTGTCAAAATAAAAATCAATGTGAAATATCTACCATATTTGCCAACATAGAAAAAACAACAACTGGTCAACTGGGAAGAAAAGGATGCATAGCTATGCATCCAAATCAGCTATGCATGATTAGCCCAATATATTCATGTGAATGTATATTTATACCTGGATTCTACATTAATGTCTAGATCTTTTCTGCCTAGTTATGTTTTATAATTGTTTTAGGACCTCAGCCTGTGGAAGATGAAATACAAGAAGAAGTCCATTCCTCTCTCCATGAAACAGTGTACACAGAACATGGTATGGATTAAAATCTGTGGGTTTTTTCCTCATGTATTTCTGACATAGGTAAATGATTTAATGACTTGGCCATTATCTTAAAATTTAAATAGTAATGGTGTGTTTTCAAAAAAATGATTGAACGACAAATATTTTTGAAATAGCACTAAACTTGTTTTACTCCACCTTACTCTGAGGGAACTTGTTGCATACATTCAGGAAAGAAGCGGTAGGAATACATAAACAAATCCAGACCAATGGTAAGTACCTCAGGAACAGGGAGGAAGAAAATAGGACACAACCAATAAGCAGTAATGGGCTGTGGGTGTTACCGCCGACCCTCACGCTTCACTGCCTGCTTGGGAGATGCCAGAGCACAATGGGCCAATGGGCCAACTTTGAGTTATGTCGGTCATATTATCAGAGAGGCAATTAACGAGATCTACTTCGAGAACCAAAAATATTTGCCCAGCACTTACATCTGAAAAAAAATTCCTTATGTGAACTTCTGTACGGAGAATATGAGAGGATACTCGAGAAACCAAGGTTTCAGGTTTTATGACTGTTTCTCGAAGCATCCCTCGATAAAAGCAGAGGGTACAATTTCAAAACTCAGCTCACAAAGGGATTTTGAAGGGGGCAGACCATGTGGTACCCTGATACCTCCGATGGTTTGGTGTGAACTAAAGTTCGTCCTAAAGGAAAAAAATTGCGTCTAAAAAATACAGTTGCCATGATGTAATTGGGCTTTCGTAGGTGTGCTAACGGCCTCTTTCAGGCTTAGGTGTTAGCGGGGAAAGGGCACAGCACCCCATCTGGCTCCCTCTGTGCTGATGGGGAGACGGGCCCTGGCTGAGTTGTAGGTCTAGCCATCGGCTGCTGGGGGTCCAGGAGCCCTCGGTCCTTCCGTGGCTTGGTCATCTCAGCCAGGAACGCCACTCCGCCTGCACGCACGTCTGCCTGTGTGAGCAAGCACAGTTTTTCCCTTCCTGCTTCTCTTTTTTTAAACCTTGAGCCCAAGGGAGATGCCGTCTTACTGAGACGAGTGAGTGGGTAGACTGGGGTAAGTGTGTGATGGGGAAAGAGGATGCATGCAGGACTCACTCCGAGGGCAGCAGAGGCCTCCGAGGAAAGCAGGTGCTGATTTAGGAGCTGAAGGTGGTGTGGGCTGAGCCAGGCCCTCGGTGTCAGCAGGTGTCGGAAGCACAGGGCGGGTGGGAAGAAAGTCCAGCGGAAAAGAGCATGGGAAAGTCGTTGAAGGTGTGCAGGTGGAAAGCCATGAGGGAAAGGACATTCCTACTTAATTCCAAGTAACCGAGGCCTCATCGGGGGTGTCGCATGTCCTGCACTCTGTCCGAGATGCAAAGAAGGGGTTGGAGGGGCTTGGCCATAGGGACCTCAGAGGGGAGGTGGCACTGGTGGCCCAGCATCGGGATGGTCAGAGAAACTACATGTCGCCAGAGGTGGGAAGAGAGGAATTGGAAGGGCGGGTGGAGGTGGGGATTCAGACAGAAGAGGAGAAAGCAGGTCCAGCACCTGTGCTGCTTGCCACATGCCTTCCTCTTGAGGCTGTTCTTGTCTTTATCCCGACTCCTTCCCCGGAAAACAGGCGATGGCTTTTCTCCTTGTGTCACTTCCGGAGGTGTGTGTGCAGCCCTGCTCTCCTCCAGGCTCCTGGTTTGCCCCGCTGCGTGCCTGTCTCCGTTTGTATGTTTTATGAGTCTCTGAGATTTAAATGGTGCCTAACACTGAATTTCTGGTTCCTCTCCACCTCACAGCTCTTCTCCCGCACCCCCTAATATTTTTTGCTCTTGTTTCAGCCTTTTGTATTTTGGATAATGGTCTGCTTTTCCATTTAGTTGCTTAAGCTGAAAACCTGGGGGTCTGCCTTGATTTCTGTCCCCTCCCATCCCCTCCCCTCCTCTCACATGTGCTCCCTAGCAGGTCCCATCGGCCTTGCCTGCCGTGTGTGTCTGCGCTGTGCCAGCCGTCTGTCACCTCTGGCCACGAGCACTGCAGTGGTATCCGGTTGGGACCTTGATCCATTCTTGCTCCTCTGCACCCTGTGTTCCATGTAGCCTGGCCCCTACACCTCATGCGGATCCGGCCTCTCTCCTGTCAGTCACTTTCTCTAGCCCAGCTGGCCTTCTCTCTTTCCTTAGTAATTCCAAGCCTATTCCTGCCGTGTGCCTTGGCACTTGTTATATCTCCTGCTGGGGTGTGTGTGTGGGAATGAGGGGTTCAGTCTCCCCATCTTGGACTGTTCTCCATCGCTCTGTTCCATTATTGGGTCAAGTCCTGCAGCTTCCACTTGTTAGCTGTGTGGCTTTGGCAGACTCTCCAGCGTCCTATCCTTCCAAGTGGGATGATGGTGCCTTCCTCCCGGAGGTCAGCCCCGAGGAAACGGATTTCTTCCCGTCAGGCTGTGGCCGGCAGGGGAGACTCGCGGGGAGTGTGCGGTGTTTGGTTCGTGTTCCCACTGAGAACAGGGCCGTCAGGGAATAGTGAGGCGCAGAGAGATCAGTCCTGCTCCCGTGAAAACCATCAAGCTGTGCTGCATAAAACGAGAGTAAGGACGAGGGGTATGGCAAGAAGAAAAGATCCTAAAATTAGCGATAGGAATGAGAGTTGGTATTATACTTGGTTTGCTGAATGGCAAAAAGTCGGAAATGAGGAGAAACGGTACAGCAGGCTCGGATGAGGAGACAGGAAGCTAAATGGGCTACATGATTCAGTAATTCCTGAGAGCATGGCTGTGCTTCATTAAAAGTCAGGGACAAAGGCATCCTTGCAGAAGAAATAGTAATATTGGGATTACTGTCAAGAGGATGACATTAAAAGTTGTAACAACAATAATAACAATAACACCTGCATATTTATGGGCCAGGCATTTTTTTAAGTGCTTTTATCCTCACAATAATGCTGTATGTAGGTACTCTTGTTAAATTTCCTTTTTATGGAAGAGAAATTTTAGGCACAGACTAGTTATGTCACTTGCTCAGGGTAACTTGCTCAATGAAAGGTCCCGGTGACCTTTGTCTCTGAACTGATTGACAAGGCAAATATATTAATATTTATGAATGTGTTTATTCATCCATGAAATGCTTATTGAGCACTTCCTGTAGCTGGGCAAGCTCCTAGGTGCTGGGCGCCCATAGTGAACGGATTCCATGAGATTCCTGACCTTGGTGGGTTCATGTTTTAGCAAGAGAAGACCATCCATCCCCCATCAGGTGGACCAGCAGTTGGCGAGAGTGAGAACAGACTTCAAAGTGGGTGCCCGCATGTGCGGGCCCCCAAAAGGGACAGAGAGTGCCCTGTAGCAAGGGCCAGTGTGTGCCCTTCAGAAGGGTCTTCATGTCTCTCAGCCCCTGCTGTGGGCCCTGGTATACACCTGTGTCTCTTCCTTCATTGTCATTTTTCAAGGAGAACACCTACACCCAGAGGAAGACGAACCAGCAAGAGAACAGCAACCAGAAGATGACGATTTCCTTGTAGGGAGAGATACAGATGACAGATTTGAGACGCTGGGAACTGGAACATTTCAGGAAGGTAGAACTTTTAATTTTTAATTATAATTACTTTTTTAAGTTGAAGGTAAAAACTTCAATAAAAATGATTGTTTCCCCATAGACATAGAGCCCAGTGTGGTGTTGGCCAGAGGGAAGGGGTTGGGGGCCTGGTGGAGGCCAGTCAAGGCGGGGAAAATGGGGACATCTGTAATAGTATCAACAATGGTACCTCCTCCTCCCTGTCTTCCTCCTCCAAGATGGCTCAGGATCATTAACAGTTGTTCAGAATTTTGAGGTCTTAGATGCTGCTTATGTAACAGAAGGCAGTTAAGGCATTCAAATAACCTGAAACATGAGGAATTTTGACATTTTTGAGGTTAGGAGTAATAGAGCTTGGGGGGTAGGGAGAAACAATTGTAAAAAGTCCATAATTAGGTCATAAAATTTCTGCCCTAATCTTCAATTGGGGCATTGATTCTATTTGAACTTAACAGCTGCATATTAAAAATCTTCAGAAATGGGAAATATTTACACTCCATAGAGCTGAATGAACAAGGGTCACACAAGGGGTAAGGATCCTGTGGGGGAGCCCTCTGCTATCAGGGGTTAAGTTATTAACACGGACTTCCCAAAAATACCAATGATGAGAGACTCATCGATACACTGCCTCTTCAACGGCCCACACTGGGGATTGAGCCCGCAATCCGGGCATGTGCCCTGATCAGGAATTGAACCATGATCTTCAGGTCGATGTTCAACCACTGAGCCACTCCAGCCAGTCTCATCCTCTCTCTTTAGGCCAGGTTATGGTGTTTGTAAACTTGTGGGGTTGTTGATGGATCAAAGACAAGAATGTGTGTCATTTCTAGGTGTAGTTCTAGTAGAATATAGTGTTTGGTAGACATTTCATGGATATATTTATGTTTTATTTTAATAGTTATTTACCTTCAAAATAAATAAAATCAATAAGAATAGATTCAGAATGTACACATACAGTATATATACATGCCACTTTATGAAAATAGTAATATTGATTTAATGTTATTTTTTTTTTTCTAGAAACTGAAGATAGTTACCATGTAGAAGAGACAGGTGAGATTTTAATTTAATATTGTTCTTTTTGAATTAGAATGACTCTTTTCCTATTTAAAAAAAAAAGAAAAACATTGAGAGAGAAAAGACATTGTCTATGATTATCTTATATAGTAAAGAGCTAATATGCTAATATGGACTGACCTTCCAGAACAACCTTCCAGAATGACCTTCCGGAACCTTCCGGAATGACGTGGGGGGGTAGAGCCTCAAGGCAGCCAGGGCTGCAAGGGTCTACTCTTGCACAAATTTCATGCATCTGGCCTCTAGCTTATTAATAGAGGCCTGGTGCATGGATTCGTGCATTGGTGGGGTTCCTCGCCCTAACTTGCACCCTCTTGCAATCTGGGACCCCTCGGGGGAAGTCAGAGAGCCAATTTTGGCTGATCCCCGCAGGCCAGGCCAAGGGTCCCCACCAGTGCACAAACCCGTGCCCTAGGCTCTAATAGGCATATAAGATACTTGGTTAATCTCTTCCCATCCCTCCCCTCCCCACTTTCCTCTGAGATTCATCAGTCTGTTTCATGCTTCCATGCCTGTGGTTTCTGCTCCTGAGTTGAGCATCTGCCCCATGGTGGTCAGTGAGCATCATAGCCACTTGGCAGTTGGTCGGTCACTTAGGCTTTTATATATATAGATTACATCTAATATAGCAAGTAACTTATAATATATACTTAATGATTGATATTTTATGTATCATAATTATGCATACATGCATATGTATCTGTATTTTTATAAATAATAGTTTTTGTATTTTTTGAAGTCTACTTCCTGAGGATAAGTTCCCAGTAGTGGGATTATTAAGTCAAAAGATACAGCAGAATTGCATGTTTTGAGGTCTGAACGATAGTCAGTGAACGGTCAGAATAGTATATTGTTGTACGCCGTGCCCTCAGGAGGAGTGGCCACTGAAGATGGGCATCGCGTCTTCTAGTAACAAGCCTGTGGTGTTGGCCAGCTCCTCCTGGTGTTGGAGTGGACCTTCTTCCTGTGCTGGGGGACCATGTGATAGTGTTGACTAGCATTTAGGGCCCTGTCACGTCAACGCTATGTATCTGTGGTCACTAAAATCATACTGTGGTTAGAGCAAACTGGTATTGAGTCCCAATAATGGGCTGGGAAATGTGTGTCCTTGCTCAGGCGCAGGCAGGATTGCTGGGTTGATGTGAGGAGGGCTCCCTGCACTGCAGACACGTTAGTAATTTCCTAACTGTTTTCTCATTTGTAGCTTCGCAGACCCCTAACCAGAATGCGGAAGAGATGATGTATGAACAGGAGGCACCAGGTTTGTGAGATGAGTTTCTGTTGGACACAGCGGCCAAGGCCCTGTTAACTTTGGGTTAATGACTCATTCTGACCCACAGAGAACTCTTCATACCACTTTTGGTTGCTCAGATAGTTATAGAAATTTGTGAAATTTGTGATATTCTATGGAGAAATGAGGAAAAAAGGAGCTGTGTTTTTCAAACCATCACTGGAATGTTGTTCTTATAGATCAGACCAGAAGAGCATTTGGAAATTAATGAGGCAGAAGGATGGAATAGTTAACTGGGTGCGAATCCTAGCACTGCTACTTCCTATTTTTTGACTTAGCAAATGATGGAACTTTATATATCTGAAATATTATTAGCATTCCAGTGCACGAAATTCATGCACAGGTGGGGTCCCTAGGTCTGGCTGGCAATCAGGGCTGATCAGGTTCCCTTACTTCACCACCTGCCTGTGTGCCGCCACCGTGCAGTTCCCCACCTTCCCACCTCCCTGCCTCCCCCTCTCTTCCTTCCCTTGTCTCCCATGTCCGCCACCACCCACCCCCAGTTTCCCATCCCAGCCCAGGGCCCAGCCCCAATAAGGCGATCAGGACCTGCCCACTGTGGGGGAGAGACTGGGAGTTTGGTCACAGGCCCCATTGGCGCTCAGAGCCTGTGGGCTGGGGGCAGCTCCTGTGTTGAGCGTCTGCCCCCTGGTGGTCAGTGCACATCATAATGACCAGTCATTCTGGTCATTCCATCGTAATGGTTGCTTAGGCTTTTATATATCTAGATAATGATAATTTCTTTCTTACACACCTGTAAAGATTACAATTTAACTTTCAAGTAATTTTAGAATGATGTCTAGTAATGTGTTTGGTTTTTAATGTTTACCAAAGGTGTATATTTTTTTCTTTTTAGATTCCACTGAACCAGCAATAGATGACTATGAAAGAACGTACCATGATGCAGGTATGAAATGAACATTGTTGTTAGATTTTAAATATTATTAAGGTTTGACAGCTGTAAAGTTATGTTAACATGGTGATTTTTCTGTTAAGGAAGACTGAGAAATAATAGTAATACTTAATATAAGACTTTCTACTTTGTAACAAAATATTATCATTTAAAAATATAAAGCTTTCATATTTCACCTCATCTACCACTGTCTCTACCGGAAACAGGATATTAATTCCTAACTATACTTTAACATATCTTGCTGTATGCCAGTTTGAGGAATATGTATGAAAATAATTTACCTGCCCTTTCTCAAGTTGTTTCTGGACTGAAGCATTTTCCATGGACTGTGCAGACATTAATTTTTAAAGAAATAGAATTCTGTATTTGAGATTAAGGTTTTTGTTTTGTTTTGTTTTGTTTTTAGCTGAGCAGTTAAACAGAATGACTCAGTACTTATTTTGATTTTATTTTATTTTTTCTGCAGATGAAGTAACGTACCAAGACTATGACCAACAAGGTGTGAAATGCTTCTTAAACTTAAGCCATCTGCTTGTTTTAAAATCTACTCATAGTTTGACCATATAGTACACAGAACAATTTTTTTAAGTTATAAAACCATAACTTGAAACATTCAAGTGAATGGTAGTTTTCAAAGACTTGACTTGGGGAGATTGTTTACCTATTTCATGATTTGCCTGCCATTGCCTAAATAATTTCTTCAATTATTTGCAAGTTGCCTTAGGAAGAAGTTAAGAATTATTGAGGAAATCATATTTCATTATTTCATAGGTATCGCTGCCTTTTGACTAAAATATGTCTTGTGCTTGGAAAGCCACTTTGGTCCCTGTTTAACTACTGTAGCTGCTTCCACAGATTAATCCCACGTTTCAGTGCAGGTGCAGGGAGAAGGGGCAGAAGAATCCCCTTCCGGGCGTACAGGCAGCATGAAGGAAGTAGTTCTGGCAAATCGGTGGCATGAGTAGCGTCAGATTCAGGTTTTAGTGATCGTAGCTCCTTTTGTTGCCTGAGCAGTTCTCGTGCTGTTTTATAAAATTCATTGAAATACATTATTTTTGCTGTTTTCCAGATGAGAAAAATGTGTTTCAGAGAATGTAAATAATGTGCACAAGTTCATAGGACTAAGAGAGAATAGAGATGGTGGACTGTAGAAGGAAGGGGTCAGTATTATAACTGCGTGTGCAGCGAAAAGGATGGAGAAATTTGTGGTGCTCGAGTCACATACAGAGGGCTTTCTGTTGTTAGTAGTCTTAGGGTGTGACATTCCCGTATGAATAACACCGAGGCCGTACTTTAAGAAACCTGTAGTCTCATGATAATTGGTGAGTCTTGATGGAGAAAATTAAGAATGGCTGTGTGTAGACCTGATAAAGTAATTTATTAAGTGTGTGTATTTAAGATTTGAGATCCTCTCAAGATCACCATCCACTGGTGTTTCTCTTGGGATATGAGTGGTACCCTTGGAGGAATCCTGGATTCTACCTTGAGAGACTAATATTTGAAATAAGTTGTCAACTATGAATGTATTTAGATTTTCTTTTCAGTTTATGAATTTGAAAGAGAAACTAGAAATTTGGAAATTAAAAGTTGCATGTAGAGGTAGGGGGTATGCAGGAGGCAGCTGGTCAGTGTTTCTCTCTATCGATGTGTCTAGCTCTCTATCCCTCTCCCTTCCTCTCTGTAAAAAACAAACAAACAAAAAAGCAATAAAATATATTATATATATATATAAAAAAAGAATTGGCCCTTGCCCCATCAGCCTAGCACTGAGAATAAATCACAAAGATATTAGGTGGTCCCCAAAAAATGTTTTTTATTAAATGGACAAAAGGAATAAATTGATAATCGTGCTGGGAAAACAAGCAAGTTCGCTCTTAGTGTACAAGGAATTGTGAGGGATTTTGGAAAATGGGAGAAGCAGGGACAGGTTGACTGAGGAAGCTGTGACCCAGCCGGGGCCGGGAATGCAGTCTCTGTAGCAGAGCGGAGCACATGGGGGCCCGGGCACAGAGAGGCGAGAGCAGTGATGGATGGGCTGTGGTTCGGTCATACTTTAAACACCTGCCAGTGGGACCCTTTCTAAGAGGCTGGCGCAGGACCGTTTGCCCCAGGGGAAAGATCTGAGAATGATCCCCCAAACAAAGTTGAGAATCTGCCTGGTAAACCCCTGGATCCAGAGAAGCAAGCTGGGTAGAGCGTTGGTTAATTTGAACCTCCACCACGGAAGTGAAGAAAGTAAAACTGGGAAATTCAGTGCCACCCGGGAATGCACAAGGTATAGGATCTTGGTTAGAAGTGATTCGGGAGGAACCTTGGTGTTCCCCGTTTTAAAGGAAGGAAGCAAAGGTAATTGCCCGTCTCCCGGGGCTAAAACATGGCTGACCTTGAGTTTGAACCTGGGCTTGTTGCCTGTGAGGTCAGACCCCCCACACCCTGCCACTCTGTACCCTCCCGTTGCCCAGTGACTGAGCCCCAGAGTTCAAGGATACGTAGACGGTGTCTCTGCTCTTGAACCGCCCAGCCAGTGTTGTGTTGCAGTGAGAGTTAAAGGGCTTTTCTCTCTGTGTGTTTTTTATAGTATACGAACCATCGGAAAGTGAAGGGGGGATGGAAAGCTCAGGTAAGCCTTTTCTCTAAGCAAATGTTTCCCCCGTAAGACAGCCCCTTGTATTTGTTAAAACTTGTACAATTCATGGAACAGAGGTAGATGTAGTAAGAAATATCAGACATTTTCATTTCATCAAGGAAGTAATTAGATATTGTCCTTATATTTATTCCCCACTAACGGTGGAAGTTTTCTGTCAACGGGGATAACGTCAGCTGACATGATGTATGATGTATAATTTGGGAATTAAAGTTGATATGCTATATATGTACTTGTGAGCCTCTCTGTAAGAAACTAGTCTAAAAAGTGCCAGATTTAGGTATCTGAGTGGATATAAGTTGTTCAGGGATCTCATGGAGTTGAGTTAATGTAATATGTGTTTGTATTTTTTTTTTTTAGATAATACTGTAGAAGATTCAAACATAATCATAGAAGGTAAGTTAATTTTGTAGAGATGGTTATACTTTCCTTTTTTTAAAAATATATTTTATTGATTTTTTTTACAGAGAGGAAGGGAGAGAGACAGAGAGCTACAAACGTTGATGAGAGAGAAACATTGACCAGCTGCCTCTTGCACACCCCTACCGGGGATGTGCCCGCAACCAATATTCATGCCCTTGACTGGAATCGAACCTGGGACCTTTCAGTCCGCAGACCGACGCTCTACCACTGAGCCAAACCGGCTTCGGTGGTTATACTTTTCTTATTAACAGTGTGTTCATATATTCAGCAAGTATTGACTAAGCACTTACTCTTAAATCTGTGTACCGTGCTCAGGGGTCAGAGGAGGGGAGTGCCCAGGTTACAGGCCAGAGGTGGCTGAGCTGGTTTGCAGTGAGGAGGATTATTATACTTTAAATTCCAGGGGGAGGGGTTGGCCATGGGCAGAGGTGGGTTAAAAGTTGGGTCCTCTGTGTTTTCAGGCATTTGGATCAGCCAGTAGAGGACAGAGAAGAGGCTGTTAGGGGAATTCCGTTGTGGTTCTGGACTGTGTTCCTTCAGCCCACCTGCAGCTCCTGTGCTCCCACAGCCCCCGAGTGGACAGCAAGAGGGTGCTCCCTACCTCTACCTGCCCACCGACCTTCTCTTCCCCAGTCTTCAGAATGCCACCAGCCTTCTCTTGCTTGGTGACATCAATATATACTTGGATGCCCATACAAGAAATGTGGGAGCCATCATGGAGTCCGCCTCCCCCTGTTTCTGTAGCTAATCCTGTTGGACAGGCTACTTCCGCACGTCTCAGATCTGTTCTTTCCCTGTGGCCCTTGGGATCTAGTTCAGCCCCATCATCTTTTAGCCAGTCTTCCTAACCCCTACATGTCCCCTTCACATCAGTCTTCCACAGTGCCACTAGGGAGATCTCTTTGGAAGCATAGAGCTGGCTATATCAGTCCTGTGCTTACACCCCCAGTTCTTCCCCATCTGTGTCATTCGGGTTCCTTTCTGTTGCACGGAACAAAAAACCAAACCTGAATTGGCTGAAGCAATCAAAAGACAGGGAACAGATTACTTGCAGGACCTCCTGAGGGATTTGGATTACAATCTAAGTACAGTGAGAGGCCATGGGAACACTTGTAAGAGAGGGCACAGTCCACTTCTTGTTTTGGAGAGCTACTTCTAGTTAGAGAACGGATTGAGTGGAGCAATAATGGAAACAGAGGCCACGGGATTGGAAATTACTGGGAACTAATCCTGGAAGGTGGTCGTGGTGCCCTCGAGTAAGATCTTGGCAGTGGAAATGGAGGGGAGAGTTTTGAACTGGAGTTCTGTTTTAGAAGGACAGGTGGTGGACCTTTCTGATGGTTGTGAAGTAAAAAGGAATAAAAGCAGCCTGACTTGGGTTTGGATTGTCGAATGCTGGGGCCATTTGCTAAGAAGAAAAGTAGGACACAGTAGGAACTGGTTTAGAGAAGAGAATCAGAGTCTCCACAGTAGACATTTGGCTTCGGAAGTTATGTGAGATACTCGGATGGAGGTGTCAGGTAGGCAGTTGGATGTGCCAATCCGAACAGATGGCTGAGATCCGAGGTGGGTATACATGTTTGGGTGCCATCACCATGAGGATGGCGCTAACTTCATGGAAATGGTTAAGGTCATTTTGGGGGTGAGCACAGAGAGAGAAGACAAGCAGCCCAGGCTAAGCTCTAAGAAATCACGACTCTGTGAGGTTTGCTGGAGCCTGAACGACTGTGGAAAACCCGTGGAGAACATGGAGGAGCAAGACAGAAAGCTTTTGAGTATATCAATGGGAGTGAGAGCCAATCATAGAGGGAAGGTGACGGAGGGGGACGGGTGGGAAAAGATGCATAAATGCATAACACATGGACACAGACTATAGGTGGTGAAGGCCTTGGTTACGGGGTGGTACAGGCTAGAAGAAGTGAATGGAGGGAAAAAGGGGGCATGTGTAATACCTTCACCTATAAAGATTTTTTAAAAACTTTTTTTAAGACTTGGAGGAAAAAACAAAGTATACTGTATCAATAGGCAACTCAGGTTGTGCTGGTATAATTTATTTGCTATTTCCTTTTCAAAATCCCCTTGCTATGTCATTACCAAAATAAGTTTCTGATATGTTTGCTACATGTACATTTATTCAGGATAACTTAGGTAGTAATAATAAGGCTTTCTTAGTGATGGAAATAACGCAAGTGACACCGAGTCACATGGTTTTTTCACATGTACCTGAAATGTTCAAAAGTAAGAGAAATTCTGAGAAAACAAACAAGCACTGGTAGAGTTGATAACGTGCTAACATATCTCAAAAATATTAAGAACAAAATAAATAGGCAGGCCATTCATAAGCAGTCACAACTCGAGAAGCTAGGCAAGCTAAAGAAGGAAAAGGGGAAATATGTAGGAAGTGGCTGGTCTTTGGAATATGTTATGGTGAATAATATTTTTCAAAAACCTTTATTAGGTATAGTGGTTTATTTTCACAATTATATTTTAATTTCTTTGTGTTGTTTCATTCACATTGAAATTAGGTTATGAGTTTAAAATTTTTTTAAAAAATATATTTTTATTGATTTCAGAGAGGAAGGGAGAGGGAGAGAGAGATAGAAACATCAATGATGAGAGAATCATTGACTGGCTGCCTCTTGCACGCCCCCCACTGGGGATCGAGCCTGCAGCCTGGGCATATAGCCTGACCGGGAAGACAAACCGGTGACCTCTTGGTTCCTGGGTTGACGCTCAACCACTGAGCCACACCTGGCTGAGCTAAAAAAAAATTTTTTTTTCGAGAATAAACAGATGCTTTAAACATATTTCCTCAGCTTTCCTATCAAGCCTGATTAAAAATGGTGAAATCCTAGGTTTAGTGTGCATCTCCTTGGCCTGGCAGTGAGGTTGAGGTTAGTCCGTTAGGCAGGTCATATGATAAAGTCTAAACACCCGAAAAGAAAAAAATACACATTTTGCAAAGTCTACAGCTAATTCTCCTTTGTTGTGATGGGGTCAAAACTTAAATATTTTTATAATGATTGCAACTGAATCCCAGGGAAGTCTATACAAGTTGTCTATAATGTTACTTCCATTAACACCAGCAAGCTGTGTTTGAAACAGCGGTCAGCAACATGGGTTGTAACTGTGCTATTTATTTCAGAAACACATGCGCCCCCAGCGGAGGAGCATCAGGAAATACCACCAGGTATGACATTGTGTGAGATGTTATCCCTCCTTCCTTTTATCTTTGTTTGATTTAAAATATGCTGTTGATATTCACACTAGCTGAATGAAATACATTTCGGAAGAGGAAAAGTGGTGAGAGAGGAGGATTAATTATAACTTAAATTTTAAAAGAAAATTTTCTGTGTTTGGATCAGGTGACCCCAAGTTCAAAGTAATGGAAAAGACACATCAGAACGTGACTAGAATTTGCGGGATATTCGCGATCGGAGCTCCATGTGGCTTTTGCTGTGCTACACGGCACTACTATTATACTAAAGTAGTAGCAGCAGCAGAAGTTGGGATTTTATTTTTCCCTTTCTTTGACGGACAGGCTGTTTGGTGGGTGATAGGGAATCAGAATTGCCTTAAGCTGCAAGTTGAATGGTACAGACCTCTGTGATACCAACTCCTCTTCCAGTCCCCTGAGACCATCAGGAATGCCCCTGGCAGGCCAGGCTGCCTGAGACTCGTCTGTACCCGGGTCTTTCCTTCCAGCCACCGTGTGAACCTGTTTCTCTGCCTCCCCGCACCTGCCCCTCTCACCATCAGTGAAGAACGGGAAAAGCATTTCCCCCAGGGCCTGCGTTGGCCGATGCAGTTTAGAGATGACATTAACTATACTGCAATCAGAAATGAACAGGAACAAACACTCCTGTTCTCATAGTGGGGGTAAATGCTTTACGAAGAGAGGATTTCCCAATACTTCCTTCCTACGTGAATGTTTCTTGTTTCTGTGTTTTATTTCCTTTTTTTTTCTTTTTTCTTTTTTGTGTCCTATATTCCTTTTTTTACTCCTCTCTTTCACTTTATGCCTAATGTGCATTTGGTAGCAGGGATGTGCATGACTGTTGATTTGGTGCCTGCCAAACTTTCTGACTTTCAAACTTTCTAAATTTCAAGGGGGAAAATATTTTTTTTGTAATCAAAGAATATTTTTACACTTCTGCTCTTCTTTGCTTATGTAATTGGTGTTTTAGGTTTTGGTAGTTGTCATACCACATGCGTTTATAATAATATGTACAGATTCTTAAGAGAACTGAGTTGTTGGCATTATAACCTGAATGAGAAAGAAACCCATGGAGAAACTGATCTTTCACATGATGGCTGCTGTGCATCTGTGTACTTGGTGTTCAGGAAAGTTGCACAGAGCGAGGAAGGCCGACGTTCCTGCCTCATTGCTGTAGTTACCTCAGCATTGTTGAATCATGGGACACAGAGTGCCTGTTCTGTCTTGGGAAGGCAGAGCAGATTCCTGAATTTGCATTTTGATGGCTACCCACTCCTTTAAAGGAAATTGTTTTATAAGTATTCCTAAAATGATGAGTTTCCTAGAATACTGACTTTCTTCCAGTTACAGTTCCTATTTTTTTTTTAAACATTAACCTAACTTTTAGTGAAGGTAATGAACAGTAATATTTTCTAACCAAAAAGTTCTGTGCTTTTATTTCCATGTTTTATAGACTAAGCCCCAGAATTCCCTTGGCACGTAAATCTAAAGTATCAAGTGGTTGGCGTGCTGGACCACAGTGGTTTTCAGATGAGATAGTTAACTGCTGAAGCAGTTAGTATGCATACTGTCTGCACATAATAAGCTCTTAGCAAATGGTGGCTCTGGTTATTATTGTTCATTAATTAATTAGCCTGATCTTTCAGGTGGGTCCAGGGAAGCTAAATTCTGAAAGACCCAATTAAAAAGTCGCAATCTGTAATTTGGTGTCATAAAATTTTGATAGGCCTGCTGCACAGTTGCAGTTTCACCTTGCCCAAAGAGAACGGAAGGCCGAGCATTAGCAAGAGTTAATTTTAATGTTTGCACTTGGTTTGCTTATTTCTGTTACCGTCTCAGTCATAACTTTATATTGCAATGTTTTTAGTATTCAGTCTTTCAAAATAATAATAGTCATACATCTGTGTTCGTGAGCTTCTTGTGCAGTAGGCTCCCTGCGTCTCTAATCGTGTTTAACGATGCATGTGGCTGTAGAAACTCTGGGCACACTGATTGTAGGCCCGCCACCTGGCTGCCTTTCCGCCTCAAAAGTTCTGTATTCAGTGAAACACTCCAGTTGGAGAGCTCTGAGCAACGTCGGATACTAGTTTACTTTTTCCTGGCCCTCGGAATTTAATTGGTGATTACTTTGCCTTCCTGGTCCTTCTAAGACTAGGTTACACCGTCTTAGTAATGCTTGTTAAGTCCTTGATTGGAGTTGCTGGTGTGATAACTCCATGGGGCAGGAACTGTCTGATTCAGCCTTGTATCCAGCTACACCCGAGGGACGATGAATGCTAACATGTATTAGCAGTACCGAGGTGTTCTTCTAAGCACATTGCATGAATAACTCATTTGATATTTCCAATAGCCAAAGTGGTAGACACACTGTGTCCCCATTTTACAGATGAGAAAACTTCCGCATAGCAAGGCAGAGTAACCTGCCTGTGGTCACAGAGCTGACAAGTGGGAGAACTGAGATGCCCTTTACATTCTGGCTCCAGAGCCCACACTCCCAGCTGCTGTGCTCTAGAGCCATGGTTGGCAAACTGCGACTCTTAGACCCCTTGAGTGTGGCTCTTGCACAAAATACCACGGCCTGGGCGAGTCTATTTTGAAGAAGTGGTGTTAGAAGAAGTTTAAGTTTAAAAAATTTGGTTCTCAAAAGAAATTTCAATTGTTGTACTGTTGATATTTGGCTCTGTTGACTAATGAGTTTGCCGACCACTGCTCTAGAGGATTTTAAATAAATGAAGGTATACAATAAATGAAGTATTGTGGCATTTTTCTCTTAATATATATTAGTACATCAGGAAGGACTCAGAAATGTCGAAGGTTAATTATGATGCATTGTAGTAGAGCAAATTGGCCAGTAGTATAAATTTTGCTATCTTTTGTTTATATCAGTATATGTACAAGTGCTTTGCAGGCAAGGAGGTAAAAGGTCATTCTAAGAACTGATCATTCTGATACTAGAAATCAATTATTTTTAATACCAGGATTTTAAACATTGATTTTGAATCCCTATTTCGTTAGTGGGTTTCCACCTTTCTCTTCAAACTCAGATTTTTACTTGAAATTATACTGCATATTTCTAGCAATATGACAGCATAAAAATACATAGTATCAACTGAATGATTTAAGAAGTAATCGGTTAGGAAATTTATCAGGGTAAAATTTCCTACCAAATAATACTTTCAGATCATTTGGCTGGCTGGTTTCATCAAGACTTTCCTGTCATCCAGTGCTGGAAAAACAGTGACGTTTATATTTTGTTGTTATAACTATGTTACTCAGAACAGGGGAATGTGAGCAGCGGTGTTTGCTGGTGACTCTGCTGCTCCTTTCTCTCTGAAAGTGGAGATCACTCATTCCATGTGTTAACGTTTATACCACATCACACTGTCCAGCACTCCATCCGTGGTGAGGGTTTCGCTCGCTGCCTCCCCTGCCAGCCAGCATTTTCTATCACTGATCAGCAAGGCTCCTGACTGGCTTCTGGATGGCAGCTGGAGAGGTCTTAGCTTATATAAAAAGTGCCTACTGTGCGTATCATTGATAATCATTTGATCACTCGCTTATTCAAGAAATACAAATTGGGCAACTACGATGGCACAGGCGCTGCACTGGGCAGTACAGAGACATGATCAACAGCATTGTCCCTGCCCTGTAGTGGCCATTGTCCCAGGGCATGCAGCTGAGGAAAGCAACCAGCGTGATGCTGTTAACGTCTCAGAGTGCAGCATATGGGGCAGCACACGGAAGGAGGGACGCCTAGCCCAGCTTTTGTGGGGGGAAAGGTACGGTATGGCCTCCCATGTGCTGTGTTGGAGATGGGTGTGGAGGTGCTGACAGAAGTGACAGGAGCTGGCAGGTGGGAGCAGGGGGAGAAGTGCCTGCGGAACAAAGACGGAGACGGTGTGCCACATAAGGTGTCAGAAGACACGGTGGGAAAGCAGGCAGGTGTCACTTCTTGGAGCATTTCAAATGTTAAAAATTCTTTTAAATATTTCTATGGATTTCAGAGAGGATGGGAGAAGGAGATAGAGATAGAAATGTCAATGATAGTAATCATTGATTGGCTGCCTCCTGTACCCTTGCTACTGGGGATAGAGTCTGACACCTGGCCATGTGCTCTGACTAGGAACCAACCATGACCTCCTGGTCCATAGGAAGACACTCAACCCCTGAGCTGTAACAGACAGGGCTGATGTTTAAAATGTTGAAGCTGGGTCTAAAAGTGACAGGATACCACTGAAAAACTCTAAGCACGGGAGTCATATGATCAAATCCAGATTTGGAAAGGGGAGTTAGAGAGGAGTCAGAAGGCAGGTGCATTAATCTAGAAATGGGAGCCAACCTGTGGTGGGAGGATGGAGAAACCGATTTCATAGACATCAGAGTTGGACATGATTTCATGGGAGAGGGGGCTGATGGAAGGGTAAGGCTGTGGATGATTCCCTGTGTTTCTGACTTGAATGCATGCATGATGGGGCCTTAAAGGAGACACGGGAGGAAACAGGGCAGCAGGGAGATGACTGGCCTGATTTCGGAGATGCTGGGCTTGTCACTTGGTGCGCCACCTCTGGGTGGAGTCACCTTTAAATGTGTAGACGCGGATTTCTGAGTTGTTCACAATAACAACTGAGGTTTCAGTTTGCTTTTTTATCTGTATTCATCATCATACTTTGAACAACTTCCAATAGTCTCAAGATACTTTTGATTGCACAGGTTACAGAAATGCTTATTCCTTTCTCAGGCTAGCTCAGTGGTCGGCAAACTCATTAGTTCACAGAGCCAAATATCAACAGTACAGCGATTGAAATTTCTTTTGAGAGCCACATTTTAAAACTTAAACTTCTTCTAACGCCACTTCTTCAAAATAGACTTGCCCAAGCCATGGTATTTTGTGGAAGAGCCACACTCAAGGGGCCAGGGAGCCGCAGTTTGCCGACCATGGTCTAGCTAATTGACAGATTCTAAGAGAACCTGAA